CATCATCAGAGACTTGTTCTGTCAGATCATCAACAAACTCAACTCAACTCTGCTCTCTCGATTTTGACTGCATGTGGCTGTGTTTGTATGCATGGCGTGGGAGAGACCGTGTGGCAGTTTAAATAAAACAACATTGCTGATTCTGCATGAAGTAGTACGATGAATATCTGACAGTGAACCAAAACGAAACTGGCTTAACTGCTGTTATTGAAATGTTCTTTGAACTATAGTTTTGAAAAGCGTGTATTTAAAAGAGAGTAGATTTCATATTTACAGTGACAGTGCTGTAGTGAACATCTTGGCTCAAATCGATCTCAGAAAGTTATTGTAGGTATTTACATGCAATTGCATGCAATGTTTGCTTGACAGCTGTACTCACTTTATTGTTTTTCCTCCATAAAATAAGACCAAAACAAATGACACTGCCAGGATGTTTCATATGTAAAAAATAGCTCCCAGCTGCGGTCTGACGACTCCTCTTCAGGCAGTTTCAGATGGAGTTTCGGAATGACAGGAAACAAACAGCTGCATGCAGTGCAAGGAGATGAAATGCCTCTGAAGACTGTTTTCAGAAGATTTCCATGGTGCAGCATTAGAGTTGCTCTCGTGTTGAATAAAATCATCTAAATTATTTTAATCTTCATCTTCTTAACCTGCTTTTTTCCAGCTGGGGTCGCAGTAGCAGTTGGGAAAGCAGAGAATCCCAGATGACTCTTTCCCCTGCAACAACCTGCTCCCAGGCCAACTTGGAGATCCCTACGGCAAGTCCTGGGACAACCCTGGGGTCTCGTTCCTGTAGGCCGTGCTTGGTAAACCTCCAACGGGAGGTGGCCGGGGGCCATGCTGATCAGATGCCAGAACCACCTCAACTGGCTTCTTTGAATGTGGAGGAGTAGTGGCTTTACTCTGAGCTCCTCCCGGATGACCGAGCTCCTCACCCTATCAAGTGGAGTGTAGCCCACCACCTTGTGAAGAAAGCTCAATTCCGCCGCCTGTGCCTGCAACCTCATTCCTTGGTCATTACCCAAAGCTCATGACCAAACAGAGAGCTTTGCCTTATGGCTCAGCTCCCTCTTCACCACTACAGTCTGGTACAGTGACCGCTTTACTGCTGCTGCCTGTCCCAGGCTGCGGCCCATCTCACCATCCCTCTTCCCATCACTTGTGAACAAGACCCTGAGATACTTAAACTTCTCCATTTGGGGCAGGACCTCTCCCCTTACCTTGAGGGAGCATGCCATCCTTTTCCAGGAGAAGACCATCGTATGCAATAAATCCATCCATCTTCTTCTAAGCTGCTTGACCTTCTGGGTCGCAGAGGGTGCTGGAGCCTATCCCAGCGTTCATCATGTAGAAGTCAGGAAACACCCTGGACAGGTCACCAGTCCATCGCAGGGCAGACAGACAGACATACACACTCACACCTAGGGGCAATTTAGCATCTCCAATTGGCTTAACTGCATGTCTTTGGACTGTGAGAGGAAACTGAAGCGCCCAGAGGAAACCCACACTGACACGGGGAGAACATGCAAACTCCACACAGAAAGAAACTGGTCACCTAGCCGGGGACTCGAACCCAGATCCTTCTTGTTGTGTGGCGACAATTGTTCCTCCTCAGTTATTTCAATGTGCTACTGTTTTGCATACTGTATTATAGTCTGTTTGAACAGCCATACATTAGTCACTATAATGTCCATGTAAACTCACTGGCCACTTTATGATATACACCTATCACTGCCCTTTTTTAGGTCCAGTTACCAAATACAGCACAGTGCAAAGATCAGAGACCACCTTTTGTTTATTTCATTTCCAGTAGGGTATAAGTTATTAATTTTTTAGCATCAGAAAACATACATTTAACAAACATTTGGCAAAAGCGTCCAACAGTATAATATCACATTTTTCATTATTCAGTGTCTCCACAATTTTCCTTTATTACAGCTTCCATTCTCATCAGGAGACCCACTTTCAGTTTTTCATAGAAATCTGCAGGGACATTTTTCCACACCTCCAAAGGTCAGTCTTAGAAGTTGGTTGCATCCCACGATCCAAATAATTCCAAACCCATTCAGAGGTGTTGAGGTCTGGACTCTGGGGTGGTCAGTCCATCGTTCAGCTTCTTTGTTTGATGTGTCCGTCTCCTTTTCTCAGCGAGGTTCTTCTTGATCAGCTACACATCCTTTCAGACCCACAGCGCTGAGTCGTCTTCTCACAGTGGAAGGATGGACAGAAACACCTGTGGATGTTTTCAGATCTGAAGCAGCTTGATTTTCTCCTCTCTCTCAGAGATGAAAGCTTTAAGTGCTGTTTATCTGATGGGGGCAGTTTTGGTGGTAGACCTGGAAGACCTGGTAGAGGACTGAGGACACCGGGAGCAGGTGTGGAGACCAAGAGCTTTGTTTATTCACACGCAACACAAAATCAGTCAGCTTTTCAGCCCACATACAAAATAAAAGAACACGCTTGCTGGGACTTTTCAGTCTTTTCTGCTCGTTTGGCTCTCTGTTTATCTCTGCTCTGCTCTCACGTCTCCACTGGTCTCCTTCTCCCTGGGCTCTGCAACCCACTGAGAAAAGAGTAGGCTGGCAGAAACGAGGCACAGGTGCACATTATCAGTTAATCAGCCTGCTGGTTCGACATGACTGACTCTCGGTCTTGCATGTGACGCTCGGCAATCAGTTGTGAAGCAACAGTGTAAACCTACAAAGTGAAACTATGAGCTTGTTGGACATTCGATTACTGATTGCTGTAGCATTAACATCTCCCTTCACTGGAACTAAGTGGCCCTGAAAAACAGCCCCAGCCCATTATCCCACCTCCACCAAACTTTACTGTTGTTAGGTAACGTTCTCCTGGCATCTGTCAAACCCAGATTCCCAGACAGTGAAGTGCGATTCATCACTCCATCACTACATTTCCACTGCTCCAGAGTCCAGTGGTGGCCTACTTTACACCCCTCCAGCCGACACTTGGCATTGAACATAGTGATCTTAGGCTTGTGTGCAGCCGCTCAGCCACGAAAACCCATTTAATGAAGCTCCTGATACACAGTTCTTGTGCTGATGTTGCTTCCAGAGGCAGTTTGGAAACTCTGTATTGAGTGATGAAACAGAGGACAGGCAACTGTTACACATTATGTGCTTCAGCACTTGGCAGTCATGCTCTGTGAGTTTGTGTGGTCTACCACTTCATGGCTGAGCTGTTTTTGCTGCTAGACTCTTCATAATAATAGCACTTACAGTTGTCTGGGGCAGAAATTTCACAAACTATCTTGTAGCAAAGGTGGCATCCTGTGCTAGAGCCACTTTAAAGTCACTGACCCATTCATTTGCACAATGCTTAATCATTTTTATATAGTAAATTCAACAATTGTCTTCATACAGAGCCACATACGATATTTTAACACAGCTATTATATCTCCGAGTGCTTTTAAACTCTATAATAGTGACATGTATGTTTGTTAATGATGTCAATGAGTGTAAACATACTAGTAAGCTGGTCTTCAAATTCGTAGTGAAAAATATCCTTCTACGTCCCAAAATTAAAGGAAAAATCCCAAACAAATGGTTAAAAATATGTTTACTTTTTACTCCATTGAACCCCATGCATTGAGGAACTGCTTGCAGATGCCCTCTGGTGGTTTATGGTCATTTTTTTGACATAACTGGAAAAAATAGGAAGTAGCCAGGCTTACAGTGGTATTAAGTGGCATACAAACGGTGAATTAGGAATCACAGGTCGCACAGGTCCACTGCAAATAGCCGTTTTATTTACTATACAAAACCACCAGGCAACCTACAAGGATCTTCTGTGTTACCATGTAATGTTGATGTTAGTGATAAATCTGAAAAAATAATTTTTCTCTGGGGACCATTTTGCCTCACAATGCCCTGAATGTACCCCTCTCGCCTCATCAGGCGGCCATTTCATGCAATAGCTTTCTGTGAGGGAGCTTTTAGAGGTGGACGTCTGGTTCCTATCACCACCACTGTGAACAGTTCTGACTCTCAAGAACGGAGCATTTCACACCAAACCGCTCTGAATTACTTGGTTTATATCTTAACAATTTCGTTATGCAGGAATCTTGAAAAATTGGTGGAATTCTCCTTTAAGCATATGAAGTCTGATGCATTCCTTACTGGCCAGCTATAACGTTGGAGTTTGTTGTAGTTTTTGTTTACTTACCGTGTATAATTAGTCAAGGTCTAACATGGTGTTCGGGTTGCATTGGTCACTTTAGACCCGTCTGCTGTCCACCTACCTTCGGACAGATGAAATGCTCATATGTGCTGTTCTGTTTACGTTGGTTTAACCAACCTCTCAAGATTCACCCTCGTATCTCCGTTTTTGTCATTTTTCAGTTTTTGATATAATTTGAAAATGCCTGATGTTCTTTACATTGTGTGTAAAGTTCATGATGAATGGACCAAAAGAAATGACCCAAAATGACTTGGAAAAAGTCTGGTTCCATTGACTTACATTAAAAGTAAAGTATGTTTTTTCCTTCTCCTGTAAAGTTACCATTTTGGAGATACAAGGTTTTCTTCCGACAACAGTGATATATGTACACACATTCATAGATATACATTTAGTTGGCTCCAATATGATGTGCAACAAGCGGGACATCTTGTGGTCATAACATGGTATTACATCATAACGTGGCAGAGATTATCAGTGCAGTGCATTTTCTCCACATCATAGTTTTGGACTGCTACAGCCAGAGGATGCCTAACGATTTCTGGAAACTAAAAACCGCATGGTCAGTGTGAACGGTCAGGGCTAAACTACTGTTGCCCGAGTAAGCAGACGTATGTAAACGTGTTGGTTGTTGTGAGATCACAGAAACATTTAAAACAGACGACTTATTTTCCATATATGGACTGTTTGGACTGAGGAAGGAACAGTACGTTTTGAAACTTTAACGTTTTCATATATACCTCTTTTTTTGGTTTTCTATGTTACAACCCCTTTATAGCACTCAAATAACCACGACCAGAGGATACCTTTTTTTATTATTTAATTCTTTTTTATATCTCAACCTTTTACAGTAAAATATAACAAAACCAACAAAATGAAAAGAAATAATTAGCCGGATCTGAGCACACGTTTCACTTCGTCTTCACGCTCTACTTACAAAAAGGAGGAGAAAAGCTGGGACAGGGAGACGAAGAGCGAAAGAGAAAAACCTCGCTCTTGTAACGGGTGTCACGAACAGAGAATCTGTGCAGCCCAACCTTATTATGGTCACAGGCAGAGAAAGGTAAGGAGAAGGGAAGGGAGGAAGAGGGCCTTCTAAATATCACACATGGAGGTCCCAGGTAAAAATGACTGAGTTTGTGTTGATGAACTAGGGGAGTGTTTCTCAATCCCATGCATTGAAAATGTTCCTTTCCCTGCAGGACCGCACTCAGAACCTCATGAGGGGTTGGTTAATTTGTGGTGAGTTGGGTCAGGTGTGCTGGAAGCAGGTAGAAACACAAACGTCCACAATGAGCAGGACTGAGAAACACTCAACTAGAGTCTGTGTTTGTGGGGGTTTAGGCGTCATAGTTGGGGTTTTTGCGCAGGATGACGAAGCCCTCAAGGATGGGGGTGACGGGGATGTACTCTTCGGTGGCCAGCTCCGCCCTCTCTCCGTGAGCCAGCAGCACTGGTGTGGTGTGCGTCTGAAAGCCTGTGATCGCTTTGGGCTTGCCTGCCTGTCCAACCACATCCACAGCCTGGACAGAAACAGAGAAAGAGCACGTCATTCAGAGCACTGTAACAACAGACAGACAGGCTTCGGGACGACTGCTACTAGTGCGTCTGGGAATCGACTCTGAAGCTCTGGACTCGACTCCACAGAGACGTTCAGGTGTGAAACACTCAGAATGGGAGATACTTGGTTGTTACTGTATAGACTGTCTGAAATATGCACCCTTCCACAAAGTAAAATATACAATTACAACAAATTGGCTTACAATATAATCAGAACACCTGCTAAATCACTAAATAAAGTCAGCCAAGTTAATTCAGTTTTATAGATAACAGTATGCTAGTAGCCAAACAATCAAGTATATCTGAGATTACTTAAATTAAAATGGTATCTTGTCAAGTATAATTCTCAAATATAGTCAATAAATCTAATATTCCTCCTGTTGAAACTGTAAACTTAATTTAAGACTATTTACCTCTTTTCCAGACTTTGCTTACTTGTTTTAAGTAATTTTATTAAGTAAAATTCTCACTATATTGACAATCTTTCTTGTTTTAAATAATAAAAAGAAACCAGCAAAATTATCTGCCAGTATAGTGACATCATTTTACATGACAAAATAAATAAAATGAAAAATGAAAGTGAAAAATGTCTAGAAATAAGCTAGATAATCTTATAATAAGTGCACACCAATCTCAAAATGAGCAATATTAGACATATCGACTAGATTTAAGATCTTTTCACTTGACAAGATACCATTTTTTGCAGAATGCTATTTGGTGGACTTGTTAAGCCACATTAACCTTGTAGCTCCAGAGCAAAACTAAAGAAGCAGACATCAGACACTTAACTTGTCTTTGCTGATCGACTACATAAGGAGTAAATTTTCACTAAACTATTCCTTTAACTACATATCAAACGTCTGTCAGGTTATGCAGTGATCAGAAATGTCACACCGAAGGGAGCCCATATTATCTATTTCCACTTTATCTGAAGTTCTGGCACCATCAGTAAATGCACACAAACACGTACCTGTCCCACTCGGACCGACACTGGCAGCGGCCGGAGTTCCTCATCGAATGTGACGAGCATTCGAGGCTGCATCGCTGCTACAAGTCCGTACAGCACGTAGTGAGACTTGCCCAAGATTACTGTAGAAAGAGGGATGAAAAAGCAGTTGGTAACTGAAATGATTTTGTTTATTCAAAAATAGCATTTTAAAAATAGGGCTAGGCAGCTTGCATTTATAATAAATTTAAAGAACTGTTGCTTCCTGAGCACTGGTACTCTAAGCTGAAGGAACGCCTTAGCATTTTTTGTTTTGTTTATTTCACTTTAAATGAACCTTACATACTGCATTTCTACTGGCATGACAAGACTATCACTGCAATTTTATAGTCTAGGCCAGAGGTCGGCAACTCATGTTAAGAAGAGCTGTTTTCATCCTTTCAACAAAAATCAAACCACCTTGGGAGACACAACATTTCATGTCCATTTTACCATCTTGGCTGCAAATCTGTCTCAGTATGTGTTAATGTACTAGTATAAGCTATAAATATAATATAAACACAAACAGAGACTTACTTAAGTTTTAGCTCAGCTATAGCTGCTTTTCTCACATCTCCAGCAGGAAACTTTTTCGCAAAAGTAAAGGTTTCTTGTAAAATGTCTCTCAACGTTTCGACTTTTTAAGAGGCTGAAGTCGCTTCTCATTCTCCAGCTTCTTGTTTAAATTTTTCCATTCCACCTTAAATGGTGCCAGAGGCGCCAGAATGTAACTGCTGCACCATTCAAGGTGGAACGGGACAATTCAAACGAGAAGCTGGTGAATGAGAAGCGACTTCAGCCTCGTGACTTTTTAGTGTTTGTCAGTTTGTCGTTGCAGGAAACCAGCTGGAGTGATTATAAATGTAAATAAGTCCATTCATCGCCAAATTATCCATGTTCGTCTTAAATCTCTCTCTTTGCCGTTTCGTTAGCTACTAGCTAGGACAGACTGTTGTTGTTGCTATGGTGACCATCAGTCTGCGCTGATCTTCAGGATTAAAGCGTGAATTAGCAGTTCTACATTAACTCCAGCTTTTAAGACCATTTATTGTTAAACTGTGTTGAACGATCAGCAGAGCTTTATTTTACTGTAAAGGAGGATTATTTTATTTTTACCTACTAATCTAATTCTGCAGTGGAGCCACAACAGGGCAGTAAAAGAACCGCTTGTTGCCGACCCCTGATCTAGACTTTTCTCACAGATATAATGGTAGCTGTCCTATAAACTAAAACTGCAGCTAACGATAAAATTCAATATTATTTTATGACATTAATAACGGTATACCAGTACAGACAACATACCACTTTAATAGAACTGCTGCTTTTAATTTACGATACGAAATATTACATATTTTCATTAATTTAAAAGGAGGAGAGGTGGAGAAAAGACAAGAGAGAAACACAATATTCTTACTGTTTTTGACGTCTAAAAAGGACACTAGGACTGTGAGGAGTCCGGCTACTGCCACCTGACTCATGAGCTGCCTGTCACTGTGGTATGGACACAAGGTCAACGTCCCTTTGCCCAGATGAGTCAGACCCTGACCGAAGGGAAAAAGCATTAAAGAAAGTAGTTATGAGAGCTCAGATATGATTCTTTAAAGTTTGGGAGGCTAAAAGAGGCACAAAGAGTCCTCACCTGTGCGAGTCGGACCATGAACAGGTTATTGGGGTCCTTGGCGTGGTACTGAGCCAGCTGTCGCAGCATGGCAGCTAGACGTGCATTGTTGGTACCTGTGGACAGAAAACTGACCGTTACTGGGACATAGCAGCAAAGTGTGAAGACACAGTCAGTGGACAAAAGGTGTAGCACTCTGGAAAACTGGTGAAGCACATTTTCCAAACACTAATAAGCTAAACGGAACCTTCACCAGGTTATGTTTATATATTTGATGCTTTATATGGATCCAAACAAACCAGAACTCACCGCTGCCCACCATGCCCATGGCGAAGATGGCATTGTGGGACACCTCAGGGTCAGCGTCATGGGAGAATTTACTCAGAGTGTCCAGAATGTTGAGCCTGGGGTTGGAAACGGAGATCAGAGCTAATGCTAGTGGCACTGCCCTCCTCAGAGTGGGCTCTCCATACCGCAACTACAGAGAGAAAAAGGCAAAACATGTATGTTGAGGAAAAATGAAAGCATATCCCAAGCTTATCCTATGAAAATAAATATGTAAATATATCACTATTAGCGTTATGCATTCCTTTCATTGTTTTGGCAACAGTTAATTACAATTCTTGCCGAAAAAGCCATTTAAATCTAGAGAAGAAAAGAGAGTAAAACAAAGTCAAGAAGTAGTTGTACTAGTGAGGCTCCTCTATCTTAAAGCACCTCACTCCACGACACCGTGGCACATTTCTCTCAGTCTGTGATGACTAACCAGGTGGCCAAATGTGCGCAGTGCCATCTCCGATCCGATCTCCTCTCCCATAGCAATGAGCGCAATACCCAGCACAGCCACACCCTGCAGCAGAGAGCACAAACAGATCAAACTAAGAAAGCCTGCGCTTCACACATTGGACCAAAGTCCAAAAATCTGGATTTTTAACACGTCCACACACCTGGTGGGAGCCCATGTCCGCTGCACTTTCTTTCTTGTCTTTGTCCTTTTTGTCTTTCTTGTCTTTGTCGTCGTCTTTGTCCTTTGTGTTGTCGTAGTGCTCGCTGCAGATGTGCAACAACTGCTGCACCTTCAGGACATTGCCAGACCCTGAGAGAGAGAGAGAGGCATATAAACATTCAGTATAACTGCAGTTTGGATGTACATAAGAATCCTCAAGATATATTATGACCTACATGAGTCACAGTCATTGAGTACTTGCTATTGCTTACCTGCATAGGCACAGATGTCCACAAGTGTGTTTGCGAAGCTACGGTAAGGTTCTGGAACAACCTGCAGAGCTGCCAGAGTGGTCTCAATCGCTTCCCCCTTACCTACACAGACAGACAGACAAGAGAACAGTCCTCTTTCAGCACAGTTCATAAGACATGAAATTAATAAAAGAAACAAACCAAATTGTGTCTGCATAAAGGCCTATAACTGGCTTCATACTGCTCCACAATGACTCATTAGGCTTTGACCACAATGGCCACTTGTGGCTGTTTTACTGTAATGTAGTTTGCAGACGGTCCCTTAACAGCTCAGTCTATAGCAGACATGTCAAACTGGGGACTTTCCAGGCCATAGTGCTGCGAAGATTATCGTTTTCCCTCATCTAACACTCTGAATACAGTTTGTGAAGGCCGTGCTAATTATCTGATGAGCTGAATCAGGTGTGTTTAATAAGGCAGTGTCCTGAAGTCTGCAGTGTTTTGGCCTGAGAGGACTGGAGCCTGACACATGTGGTCTAGAGAAACTATAGAAAGTTGTAGCTGCCTTGGTTGCAAACTATAATTTACACACATTAACCTTTGCGCACTCTCTGCTCAAAAGATAGTGAAGAAAAAAAAATCCGAATAAAACCCAAAAGAAATCTGACTTTGAGAACGGCATGGTGACAGCTAATTTACCAAGTTAACTTAAACTGTAGAATCACAAAGTATTACACAAGATACTAATGGTCCCTCTGCTCTCCACTCTCGTGGTACAGTTCCCTAAGGTGCACTGCCCTTACCGAGGTGGTTGAGTCCGAGGCCGAGGGGGAGCCAGCGAGCGTATGTGTCTTTCAGCTCCTGCTCGTTCTTCTCCATGATGGTCTGCAGGATGGTGGAAGTGACGTCACCATTACAGGAGCCTACTGCGATCATCCCGCAGGCCAGTGCGGTCACACCTGCAACCTACAAACACAATAGGAAACAAAGTTAGACTACGTTTACGCAGCAGCTAAAAGTGGCCCAAATCTGATTTTATCACCAAATGTTCTTATTATCATTTAAATGTGACCGATATGCGACATCAGTCTGAACAGATCAGCATCTAAACAATCACGACCTGTCAACGAACGCCAGTCGCTCCCAGAGGTTCAGCTTCATCTGGGCCAGCATCACAGGAGCCATCATGAAGCTTCACTGACTGACAGCTGGACTCCTCGCCGTGAAAAGTGCATGACAGCTTCTTTGGTTTGTGTCGTTGGATTCTTCAACCTTGATTTCAGACTTTTAACTGTTCTTTGACGCTGCAGCCTCGATCTCCTACGGCCGCGTTCGGACATTTCTTTCAAAATCCCTTCAAACACGGGTTTTGGATACATCTCTTCAAATTTTTTGGTACAGAAACATCGGCCTAAATGTTTGACGTCTCAGCAACGCGAAATTATGATGAATATCGAGTTGGACTGAATCACATGAATTCTGATCTGGCTGTTCAGACTGAGTCACACTGCCGCATATCGGATACGTATCGGATTTCAGCACCACATATGAAAGAGTCTCAAAAACAAATCTTGAAAATGTCAGATTTAGTGTGTTTTTGCTGTTCACACTGACACAGACACACATCTGAGTCACATATGGAGAAAAAGATCGGATTTGGGCCACTTTTACCTGCTGTGTGAACAAAGCCTTAGACACGGCGTTCTAAAGACAAACATTGTTCAGAACTTCTTAAGCAGAAGCAAAGGGAACCTATAATTATGATGAACTAAACCAGCACACTGCAGCCTTCTAAATACGTAATTAAACTGAATGAATGAAAATAAACAACAGGATCAAACCCACCTCCATGCTGGATTTAGAATCTCCCATGACCGGCAGCAGCAGAGACAGGACGTCCTCTCTGTTAGAGCCTGCGTAGGCCAGACCCAGCCTTGGTGAACACAAAGGTCAGATATTAAACTCTCAGACCGTGTGGTATATATTTAGTTTTTTTATTTCTCTTCAAAAATCACATGGATGCCCATTAAAAGAATGCAACTAGAAGAAGTTCAACTGTTTGAAAACCAATCTTTCCTCAAAATGCCCACATTTCTCAATACAATGTTAAGCAACTACAAACATCTGTGTTTTTTTTTTAGACATAAAAAAGACGATTGTCATGCAGAAGTGTGCCGTACCCAAAGATGGCTCCTATCCTCATGACGTTGCTGTTGTGGAGGACGTAGTCAGACAGAAGAGCCAAAGCTGGGTCACATTCATTACGCACTCCGGAGTTCACTATACCGCAAGCCAACAAGGCCCCGGACTAGAGAGAGAGAGAGAAATGCATGTTGGAACTGCTGTTACAACACCGAGCGTCCACTGCCGTGTTTGTGAACGAGTTCTGAGTTCATACCTTGATGTAGTCTTCAGAAGAGTAGAGATATTTGTCAATCTGAGTGAGACCCCCGTCAACGTCCCACAGCAGTATCATACCCAGAGATGCAGCAGCACTCAGCATTCCTACAGACACAAAACATACATTTTAATCCATTTGATACCATCTGTTATGCTTTATAACATGAAAGAACAACATTGATAGGCTACCCTGACGTTTAGCTCTATTAATGCGTACAAAGTATATATCTTACCATGATCTTTGTTCTTATACAGCCACTTATTGCCGTCCTCTGTCAGCAGTTTGTCCTGCCCAAACGCTGCATTAACAAACCCGTTCACAAACGAGGAGGCCAGGTTCATACGAGCAGAGTCCACCTGAGATCCACTGCCACCAAATCCTGCCAGAAAGAGAGAGAAAAGGTGGAATATTGCTCAGCATATTTGTTTACAGCACAGAGAGGTAAGTAAGAGATTTATGTAAGAAAGAGAACTAAAAGGTCTCACTGTTGTTCTCCAGGTGGGTTTTGTAAATATCATCTGGCACTTTGGGCTCCATGATATCCAGCTGTGGATGGAAGGAACAACAGACATGGTGCATCAGAAACATCACCATATACAGAGAATGGTCTAAGTTGTGCTGTATTGCAGGCTAAGGCCTAATGCACACATGCTACCTCTGTGTGGCGTGAACGCGCTGGCCTTTCATACATTCATAGTGTTCATGTTATAGAGCAGAGCAGCGAGAAAGTTATACAGACATTCCTTTTTCCAGACGGAAAAAGGGTCGCATGAGTCACTCTGCTCAAAAGAAATTGTAAAAAAATTTGTAAAAGTGCACGATATGTTTGTTTATCCTCGACAACATTCTGACTTGTGATTATGCAAAAAGCTTCAAGGCTGGTAGACCAACCAGAAAACCTGCTTGCAGCACGTAATGTTTAACTAATATTTCAATGTGTTTATATGGTTTTCTGTTTAATTTTTACTGATTTATTTTAAAACATTATTTTAACTGACGCAGCAAAAATTGGCGAAAGGTCTATTTTCTAAATACCGCTCTGCTTCAGTGCGACATCTGGGATGCTTTACCAGCCTGTGTGAAACCAGTTAACATGGGCGCCAAAATGAAAAGCAAGACTTTTTGCATTGCTCATGCCACACAGGAGCAGTATGTGTGAATCAGGCCTAAGACCATTTTGTCTTGAATTAGTCTTCAAAAGTGTAGAAAAACAAGCACCTCACGAGCAAGGGCGAGGAAGTTGCTGTTGAGCTGCACGTTGGACATGATCTCCGTCAGATCCTCGTAATCCTCCACATCTTCGTTCAGCTCCAGAAACATGCCGTGTCTGCCCAGCATGAACGCCATCTGCTTTTGAATCACACTGCATACAAATAGAGGAGAAGGAGCTGGACATTAAGGTCTCGTCTCATGGGGTGACTCTCTCCTTCCTGTCTGCATTTTTTCTTTACTGCTGCCCACAGCGCCAACTAATGGATCCATTAGTCGACTGGTCCGTGCAACCCCTATGTATGTATTCGTATCATTTTTAAACGTGTTGCTGTCTTACATGTCTTTGCAGGAGGTGAAAATGTTCTCCACCAGCTCCACGTCGTTGAGCATCAGCGCCAGCCTGAGGGCTTCGGGGTAACGGTTGAACTTGCGGAAGATGTTGAGGGCGCACTTCAGCAGAGCGGAGTTCTCCGGCTCAGGAACGTAACTCACACAGCTAGAGAAAGAGAGTGAAAAAACAGAAGAAAAGAGGGTTAAAGAGGGGAAAGAACTTGAACTAGAGAAAGGTTTAGGCACTGTTCTTTTTCAATAAATAGAAAGAGAGAAAGAAAGAGAACGAGAGACTTACCTAGTGAGGTAAAGGCAGACTTTAGCGTAGGCGTTCTCATCGATGTACATCTCCAGCATGTCGAGTCGTTCGATCTCCATGAGCAGGTCGCAAGCCTCGTGCTCGGCATTGTGGGCCATGTTATAGGGCACGATCTCTTTCACCAGCTTCAGCAGAGTCTCCTGCTGCGCCTTATCGCCCTCCTCGATCTCCTGCCACTCTTTAGCAACTTCTCCCGCAAGGTGCCTACATACAAGAGAATCACAGAGACTCAGAAATATATACAGAATCAGTACAACTGCCTTTTAGTGACATTTATACCAATGTGAACGATGTTTTCAGAGACTCATTCACAGTTATCAATGTTTACCTGACGTATTCATGGCCCCAGGATGCCAGTTCTTCCTGTGAACCCAACAGACGATACTTCAAACATTCCCGCTCCCCGCTCATCGTCATAGCGAGGACAGAAACCACGTCAGCACAGAAACGCTGAAATTAGAGGGGAAATGGGAGAATATGTAATACTTACAAGTTACTCATCACTACTGAAAACGTGTATGAACTGTCTTATTCCTTTGACAGCCATATAAATCTTGTGTGTACTGAATTTTTTCCCCAACAAATTATCCTTGTTATGACACATTTTCATGTTGTGGTGGGTAGTAGATGTGACTGAACCAGTATAAAAATGACAACTTTTTCCAAAAAAAGGGCTGACATTGGCCTTCAGGTCACCTGTGATTTTCTTTATGATGCAATATCAAAACAAAACAGTTTACACCATCTGCATAAATAACTGGATAGTCACTCTTGACATTTTCAGACTGTATCCACATAACACAGGTCTTGTAGGATAACATGATCTATTGCCACGTTTATTATGTTGTCTATGGTTCTTACAGCTATTTATATGTAATACTCTTGTGCATCTAAGATTTTTGCACAGTACTGCATCTTTTTGTTGTTTTTGGACCAACAGCAGGTACAGTACTCGGCCTAGTTACAGCAGCATCTCTAACCTCTTGATCACGTCCATAAAAACAACACACTTGCATAAAGGGACTCGGGTTCCAGTATAACAAAGTATAACACTCAATCTTAAATATGAGCCAAAAAAAATTGCATTTTACGACCCGGTTCAGACATCAACGCTCCACAGAACTGTTGGTCTGTATATTTTCTACCAGCGTAACAAATACCTGAGCACATATTCGAACACTGGCACACACCTTGTTCTCTCCAGGAGCCATTCCTTCGTAGACTTCCTTGAGCTTGCCATAGTGGGGTCTCAGGAACTTCAGAGGTTTGGGCACAGAGGTCATGGAGGTCGTGGAGGAACGAATCTGCCTACGCAACTCCTCAAGTGCGGGGCGGTAGAGAGAGGTATCCTTCTCCTGAGAGAGAAGAGAGGAATAGAGAGGGAGGGAGGAGAAGAATACATGATAGAATTGCAAGTTATCTTTACTGAACTGTTCATGTACTACAACTACATTGACTAAACCCACAAACCTTAAAATAGTTTACTACTCATAAAAAAATCCAAACCATATATACACCAGACAACATTAACCCCCAAAGACTCAAGCTAAATATCATACTCACACCAAGTCTCTCGACCATCAATTCCAACTCTTCTTGCAACTGCTTGTCCTCTTCCGACTAGACAGAAAGAAACACTGTTAAACACCATCAAAAAAGGACTTAAAGAAAATGAGGAATTGTGAATGACCAGTGTAGGTCTGTGCTCTATATGTATGGCAGAGAGGTGCGACTCCCCCAGGTTCTCTATTAACATATTTAGTAGACTGTATTAAAGGGTCGGAGAGATACACTATGTTGTAACAAGTAAGCCCTAGACAATATAAACCATCCCATTAACTTTTTCAACATATATAAACGTACAGATATCCAGTCTTCATTTAAGCAATTTTGACTGATTAAGATTTAATTGAACATTTGATGCTTAAACTGAATATTTTTTCTGTTAATAAATGAAATAAACAAAAATAATTTATGTGAAAAACGTAAGTACATCCATACATGCTTGGTATAGTGTGGTGGGTAAAACCTCTGTCTTCTACGCTGTAGACTGGGGTTGAATCCCCGCCTGGGTAAGCACCCTATACTATACCAATAAGAGTCCTTGGGCAAGACTCCTAACACTACCTTCACCTACCTGTGTAAAATGATCAAATTGTAAGCTGCTCTGGATAAGAGCATCGTCCAAATGCTATAAATGTAAATGCACATATGTCACTATTTCAAATGTGCTGAATTGCCAGAGAACATCTTGGAGGTACTTGTCTATTTTTAAACCTCAGATATCTGCTCTGGTTTGCTCTTTGCTATTGAACTGTGTGGTATCATCGAGCTCTCTGAAGCCCTCAGAAAGCAGGTTGTAGATGCCTATGAGCCTGGGAAGGATTTCCAAAATATTGGAAGTCAATCGTTTGCCTGTCTAGAAGACGATCTGTAAGTGCAGAAGATTTAAAACCACTGCCAACGTGTCCAGGCCAGCGAATTTGACCCCAGAGCAGACCGTAAGATGCTAAAAGAAGTCTCCACCATTAGAAAAAGACTGCACAAATATGACCTACATGGGAGGAGCGCTAGAAGGAAGTCTTTGCCGTATTAAAATAGAATTTTAGGGCAAGACTAAAGCTTGGTAATGAATGTCTATGAACAAATGAGACAAATGGCCACAGTGCCAGGAGCTACCTATCTTTGGCAAAAACAAAAGACAGCATTTGATAAGAAGGAGCTCATTCCAACAGTGAAGCATGGTGGTGGAAGTGTTATAGTTTGGGTCTGCTTTGCTGCCTCAGGGCCTGGAGAACTTACAATCACAGAATCGAATAGTAATTCTCTTCCACACCAGAGAGAGCTTGAGGAAAACGTAAGACGTTGAAGCTGAAGAAGTGGACCTTCCAACAGGATAATGATCCCAAACATACAGGTAAAATCACTAAGGAATGGCTCGAAAGAGAGAAATGGAGGGTTGTGGAATGGCCTAGTCAAAGCCTAGATCTGAATCCCTTTTGTAGGGGGGGATGTGAAACAGGCTGTACTTGCAAGAAACCCCTCAAAACATACACGATGAAAAACGTATGGAAGGCAGGCAAAAAAATCTCCCAGATGTTCTCAGAAAGTGGTACACAGATATAAGAAACGCCAAACAAAGTTGTTCCTGTCAAAGGGGACAGTACCAGTTACTGAGGTGAAGTGTCCAAAATAAGAGGCTCTTCGTGGGATGTACTGATGATATGATGACAGATCTGGAATCTAAATCAAACCCCTGGGGAACAACTAACTCTGACACTTACGGCTCCATAGGTGTCTAAATAAGAAACCCAGAGTTCAGAGGTCACGGCACTGTCCATTTCTTCACAACAGTTCCTCAGGTTTTTTTGTACAAGACCGAAAACTACGGACAGAACCATTTTCTTTACTAAAGAACCCTTTAATTACACAAAGCGCTCTTTGAGTGTCCACAGTTCTATACAGAACCATTTTCTTTACTAAAGAACCCTTTAATTACACAAAGTGCTCTGAGTGTACATGGTTCTATACAGAACCGCTTTCTTTACTAAAGAACCCTTTTATTACACAAAGTGCTCTGAGTGTACATGGTTCTATATAGAACCACCTTCTTTACTGAAGAACCCTTGAAGAACCCTTATTTTTGAGTGTGTAGCCTCCTAAATGTGTCTATTCTGACTGAGAAACATGGACAGGTTAGCTCAGCAGCCCCGTTACCCTCCCTGACACTTCACCCCGCTGTCTGCCGCTTCAGCCAGCCAGGCTAACGACCCAGCTACGGCAAATGTGAGTCAGAAACATGTAAATGTATATATTTATATACTTCAAAGCTCAGTGTGCCGGTGTTATATATATCTGTCTATATGCTGAACTGTATTTTTTTACTGCTGCCTCACCGCGAAGCGCAGAAGCGGTTAAGCTAACGAGGCTAAAGCGATCGCAGCTAAAGTGGCTAACGCTTCAGCTCATGTCCTGCAGGCTAAGCTAAATTAGCCGGTCATTTACGCCCAAAATGACCTTATATCGACACACTACGCTCCCCAGAGACACAATAACGAGGACTAAAACACGGAGCGTTATCATTTTAATCCTATAATAGTTCACACGGAGTGACTCAGCAGCGCTGTCACTTAAAAACGGCTAATTAGCATCTGTAGCTAACGTCGGTTTTTCTAGCAAGTTCGGTTACTAAACATCAGAACCTCGCGCGGCTGGTTGTGTGACGTTAGTGGAGCCGTTAAGACGTTTTCTGTCATTTCAATGCTTTAGTAACGCTGAACTATGAACATGATTACTGCGTCTGTACACACAGCGAGCTAACGCTGTCAGTGATTCAGCTTCTCGCTCGCATTTATCCGTTCCACCTTAAATGGCGCAGCAGTTTCATTCTGCCGTCTGAGGCGCCTCAATGTAACTGCTGCGCCATTTAAGGTGGACCGGACAAATGCGAGCGAAAGCTGGAAACTTTGTTGTTTTTCCGTGAGTTTTGGACTCTGTACGTCACGATTTAGACTGCCCCGGTGTTGTAAAGCTCTTTAACACACTTCTGCTGATATTTTCGTGATTTGTTCCGCTAAAAACACTAATAATTCACTCCCTTTTCTCGCGCAGCTCTGCAGCAGTGACTCAGGTAAAACTCGACTCCCGGCGAATTTCTAACTCCTCACCAGCTCTTGCTCTTCTTTCTTCTCCTTATCCTTCCCGGCCGGCTGTTTCTCCTTCTCCTCCGTCTTCTCCGGCTGCTTTCTGTCTTTATTCTTGGACTCCTCCATCGTTTGCGGTCGTTGTTTCTCCCTCTTTCAGAAATAAAAGAAAACACACGAACGGGGCCGCCGGCGTGTTGCGCTAACAAACGCCCCCCTACACAGCGTTGCACCCTAAGGACCCTTTGTGGTGGCTGTCGCGTTCGCCTGGTTTAAACCAGCCCAACTTCTAGTGTACCTTATGACACGAATATGTATAAAAAAAAATCACAACTTAATTTCACTTGAATGGCTCTGTAATTAAAGGCATTTTAGGCAAATACAACCCATATTGAATATCGCTGCTTGTCGTTTTGTACTTTTTTTCTAAACAGAATTTGCTGCCCTTTACATTGTGCGATCTAAAATGTCAGGATGAATGGACGGATGGAAAACCTTCAAATTTATTAGAAAAATATCTTGTGTGAAGCTTCAAACAGTGGAAAACATATGAAAAGCAAAGGACTTCAGTGTTTTGAATACATTTTGGAACGAAACAACGTTTCAAAGCTTACATATTTGATTCTGTGCACTTTACCGATAGCCGATTATGGTACTGAAAACTTCTAGACACAGTTCGCTGCTGTGTTAATGATACCAGAGAACCTGTAGAGAGGAGACTTACCGCTCTGCAACGTCTTGTGTGTTTCTCAAACGCTAGAGGGCGCTCCCGAGTGAGTCCAAAATGAATGGGTTGATATGGAGCGTTTGAGCAAAATCATAGTTTATAAATGCAGCATAAAACATTTTAACACCGCTGTTATATTTTTAATAGCTTTTAAACTCGAGTTATAGGATTTCAATTTGTACCTCATTGACGTCTGTATGCACAAACAGCCAATGAGCTGCTCCGCTCGCCAACCAATCAGCACTCAGTAGCAGTAATGTTAGCGTTCTGCTGCCCAAAACCCGTTTGCTGTAGAATAAAGGAAACATTCAGGTGAGTTTTCTTTGGTTTTTTAGTGAAATCCATCCTTCTACTGTCTAAAACTAAAGAAAAGTTCTGGTTCAGTGATTATAAACTATTTTAACTTTTCATTTTTAGCCGTTTAGCTCCATTTACTCCTATTCATTGAGAACTTGCAGGCGCCCTCTGCTGTTTTGCAGTCCTGTTCTTGATATAACGGGCGAAATAGGAAGTGGCCAGGCTCCTCAAAATCCGGCTCTGATGATACGCCAATTTAGGACGGATTTGAAGTCACAAAGTCATTATTCATCTTTTTTTTAGTTTCAAAATAAAAGTTATATTTTATTTTATTTTATTTTGGAAAAACAAGCTACAACCAGGGTAGAGAGAGGAGAAATAAACATACAAATACATACATACATCATCTAAACCACTTATCCTTCTGGGTCACAGAGGGGTGCTGGAGCCTATCTCAGCTGTCATTGGGCGGATATATATATAATGGAGACAACATTATAAGAAGGACTGTTTGCATAAGAGGCCAAAATCAGAGCTCAGGTTTCCAGGTTTTCAGCTTTCTTATTACAGGAAGAAGATGAGGTTTTCACACAGTGTTCGACATCTTTGATATAGTGAGAAAAAGGGGTGTTTACTCTTTCGCACATCACATTTATGAACAGAAGACTTTGCCAGAAAAATAAGTAGATTACATTAAAAATATTCATTTTTCAAATCTTGTCAAATTCTGGTGATTTGTGAACCCAAATAGTGTCATGATTCAGCTCCGTGAGCTCCTCCCAGAGCTGTTGAGTTGAGGTCCTTCGAGTCGTCCAATCAGAGCGCGGCAGGAAACCAGGGGTGCATAATTTGCCGAGGAACCAATATTGATACACCACAGGCGCGTTCGACTTCTTCTCTCGTGAGTCGGTGGCTCGTGGCGAATTACGAACACGAGCGCCCTCTAGCGAGCGCGCTGGGAAGTAGCACTGCTTTACAGTTCATTTAGTTTCGGTCTAGTCCAGCTGGTCAACCACCTTTGACCATCTTAGACCTGCTAGAGTCTAATTCCTCCACCTGTAGATGGAGATGAAGGCCAGTCAGATGAGAGTTTTACCAGGTAAAGCCAAATTGAATTGAATTATCGTCATTAATAATAATAAAATTAATAATAATAAAATTAACGTGTTACTTTAACAGGTGAAGAGAGGGAGAAAATGAGGCTGAAGGAGACGGACAGAGCTGAAGCAGCAGATCTGATGGAGGTCAGTGATCAAGAAGAAAGTGAGGGAGAGCTGTATAAGCTTTCAGTTGGAATTAATACCAAATTGAATTGAACTTAACTGAGAAAATGTAACATTTGTCACTGTGACCGTGAAATTCTGTTGCCGAGCCCGTTAAACGTGCCTACAGAGCAAAATCAGACTTTTTTTGATTATAACTCGGACTGAACTGATGTATAATCTGTGTATCTAAGTAATATATTTAACTTATCCAAGAGACTTGATTCACTTACTTTCAATTCTCTGCATAATAAAACAAAATAAAATAAAATAATAATAAAAGTGTCAGTTAATTGTAAAATTTTATTGGTTCGTATTTGATATTTGTATCTAACATCACTATCATGTTTTTTGTAATATTGTATAACATATTTTCACGTCTCTTATTATTGACATGACTTGGAGTTCAATGTTGTAGCAGTCAATAAAATTTAACCACACTATCACTGCAATTTACACTCTCTTCAGCAGCGTTTCATCCGACTTCCAACCAACTTCTAGGACTGAACTTTGGACCTGTGGAGACTTGCTTTCAAGCAGAATTGAGACTCGCTTTGCTTTGTTTTGTTTTTCAAATAAATCTGCCAAAATATTTTTCCACACTGTCAAAGTTCAGTCTTAGAAGCAAGACTACCTTAAATCTAACCACCAGAACAGTGAATAAGTCAGACGTAAAGGCAGTTCTGACTGAAAATTTAGTACATGAAGGGTGGACACTGACTTTTATCAGAGTGTTGTAAGTTCAAAAATATTGGTTTGTCCAGTAAATACCACAGAGTGCAAATTTAGTAACACTTTACCTGAAGGGTGTCTACATAACACGTTCATAACATCTTACATAAACACTTCTTCACAAAAAAAACAATAACATGTTCATCAATGTTTAAATGAACGTTAATAAAGTATACATGTCTTACATGATATTGATATGGACTACTATGTCATCTTACTGACCTTTTTCAAAATAGAAGTCCTCCTTTAATTTTAAAATTTGTATTATTTTCAGTGAAATACCCCTCACTTTACCCCTTTAGTCATTAAGTGCTTTGACACTTTTTTGATTCTTTCAACTTCTTTTAATTATTTGTTTCTTCTTAAACATTTTTGTATTTTCCACTTATATACATTGTTGAGGAAAATGTTATTTATCTTGAGTTTATGATGGAAGTTAACCAGACTGAAATGCATGTTATTTGGATCTTTAAATTGCAATACAAAGTAGTCAACTTACATTTATGTAGCTATTCAGCATCTACAGGGAATGGATGAGTGTTGTGGCCCTGTAAAAGTCCCACCACCAGTCTGTCACGCTTCCCTTCGGCTCCCAAGCCGAACAGGACTCCATTTCCCATGATGCCACTGACTCTCACGTGACTTCTAACCAGAGTCACATGACGTACCCCCCGTTCTCAATCACCTGAGTATTGATTCTTTTCACCTGTGTCCCAGCCAATATATACTCACCCTGTTGTATTGTTCTTTGCCGGGTTTCGGCTAGCCTACTAGCATCACAAAGTGTTCCATGTCTGTTTATCCTTCCGTGTTTGACCTTAACCTGTTTTTGACTCTGTGTTTTGCCTCTCCCATTTGGACTCTGTTTCTCTGGTTTGGATCTTTGCTTGTTTTTCGACTACGTCTTTTGGTATGCCCCTTTACTACTTTTTGTGCTGTTGCTGACTCTGACTGTTTTTGACTATCCCTTTGTATCTAAGCCCTTTATTAAAACCTCTTTTCTTAATCTGCGAGTGTCTGACTTCTGTCCTGTCCTGACACAGTCGAATGATTGTTCATAGCATATTTATGGGAAATTTACCATCCATATAGTAAAGTGGCATACAAAGAAACAAATGCTTGAGGAAAAAAAAGTACATATAATTAAAATAAAAAGTTGAAAGTATAGGCGAAATGTGCCTAAATATCAAAGCACTTAATGACCAAAGGGGTAAAGTGAGGTCATTTTTATTTGGCTGTCCAGAAATTAGGCATTTTACTGAAAATAACATAGTTTTTCAAAAGAAATTGAGCGCTTTTATTTTGAAAAATGTCTTTCATGACATGAAAAATGACATATAATCCACATTAATATCATGTAAAACTTAACTCAATGTAAACTTTCATGAACATGTTAGAACATGTCATGAAGTGTGTATGTAAGATGTTATGAATGTGTTATGTAAACACCCTTCAAGTAAAGTGTTACTGTTGGCGTTAGTGTCTTCACCAGGTACATAGTCTGGAATTGAAATCTACCCACAGGGCCTCATTTCCCAAAAGCATTGTATCGTATTCAGATCATCATAATAGGTAGAAAAGTCTGTAACTGTACATGTGTACCAACAATTTTTGTGCTACAACCTCCTTCAAAATTCAGACCAGTGTAAAAATAGAACCTAAACTGCAATAAAACATAGTCAACATTGACATTTCGTTCCATTTGATATCAAAATATCAACATTTCTCTGTGTTTGAGCTCCATCCGAGGTATATTAAATTCTTTAGAGATTTCTGAACTGAATTCATTCATCCTGGGTTAGGAGTTACTTGACACCTCTGAAAGCAACATCGCTCCATTGTTTCCTTCTCCACCTTTTTTCAACAAACACAATAGGCCTATATCAAATGCCATCGTCTGTAACAATGTCTCATGCGTCGGTTGTGAAGAAACCCATGTTTTAGTTGAAAATCAGCTCGTGGGCCAATCTGTAGTTAGAGCTTTCCAGACGGATCCATAGCAGCTGGTCCAAAACCATCTATCAGTCTGTCAGCAACTCCAGATGACGGTCAGATGAGGACGGCCCCAGCGCCTTTCCATTCATCCACAGGGAGCCGTAAGTCCACCTTTTGCTTTCTTTCTACTTTGTCCTTCAGGCAGAAATGTGATGGACGAGTTCCTCGTATTCAAGGCTGTCCTGAAGTCTGAAATCTGATTATGAATCACTGCATGGTTGAAGAT